TATGGTTTGGTCGGGGTTGAAGCTCGTCAAACGTCACTTCAGCTAACATGATTTGATGGGTCCCGATTGTTACCGAACACTCATTTAAACAACTCGGTTGGGGCCATTCCATAATCGGACTCTGACGAAGTCCGGTGACTTCCCTTTCGTTTCCCGTACAGCCCTAAAAATGTGTTGAGTTTTGCGAAGTTATCTGAAAACTCGCATAATCGACTCACACTTGCGGCTGAGATTCTTATAAATGATCAAAGTGGAATTCGGAAGTTATCTTTATAAAATCTTACAACTCGGATCATGATTTAAGTAATTCCGAGTTGAAGCAGTTTATTTTCTGAAAACCGAATTCAAAACACTTGGTCGAAAATTGCTAAAATTTGTACAGCAAAACATACAATCAAAATCAAACATACTCAAACACTTCATATATAATATTATTTCGAAAAAGTCTGGGAAATCCCTTATATAATATTTCCTACTAAGGGAGTCGGCTATCCAACATCCCCGATTACATATCACAAACTTAGAAATCCTTCCTACTAAGGATGCCGACATGTCGACACCCCGATTACATAGCCAAAAATACCTCAAAAACAATCAAAACCAGAAAAACAAGCAATAAACTCTAAGCATTGTCAGCCGGTTTCTCCACATTGCCTCCGGAGCCGTTGCCTTCTCCGACTTCAAAACCAGAAGATAATCGCTCCAAAACCTGCGATTCCTTTGCCTTAACAGCAGCTTCAATGGCCCCATCTGGCACCGGAATGAACTCGTCACGAGGATCAGACAACCTCCTCACCTCATCCTCAGCCGGCGTGACGGCCTTAACAAACTCCACCTCCTTGTCGGCCGATTTAGCTTTTTCATCAATGAAGGCTTGGACCCTGTCCCGAATCTGTTCCGGGGTCATGTCATCAAAGTGTTGTTCGACTTCTACCTCGGCGAGAGTGGAAAGATACACATCAGCCAGCTCCTTCCTTTTTTCTTTTTCCTCCTCCAAAATCATATTGACGTAGGCACGTCGGAGGAGAGCAGCCCTATCTTC